CATTCTATGGGACTGATAACCACTAATAACGTCCATTTAATGGACTGATAACATCTGAACCAGTTGCTGGCAGACGGTTTGTAAAGATTACAAAATCCAAAGAAAAAGATGTTATGAAGAACAACTTTCAAGGCTGTGCTGAAGGAAAGAGAAAAGAAAGTCACATAAATAAAGTGTTGCCCAGTAACTTTGGCAGCTTTTTAAAYGAATGGTCCCTGAAAACAGGAGCGTGGTTACAAGAATAATCAACTCGGATGTTCCCAGATCTGCCCCAGAGTCTGTTTGATTTGGCATATTGATTCCACATTCTGTACGAGCGCTGACAAAACAATCAGACCCACATCATTAAAACCTTTTTCCTRTTCTGCTCGAGTCAAATACACGGCCCCCTAAAGAGTAGTTGAGTGGAGGATGAAACACAGATCTGGAGCAATTAGGAAGACTGTTTTGTCGTGTCCCCCGTTGAATGATATTACCCAATTGAAACGCAGCACTATAGGGAGCTTTTGATTGGTTGCTTATAGGGGTTTTTTGCTGTCTGGTTCCTAATTTAGAAAAAAKATGTTTTGATTGTGCTGCGTGCTGCTGTTTATTCACTGTAGTGTGAATACACAGCGCCGAGGAGACACACACAAGCATCAATCCTTTACTGTTGCAGTTGAGAGCGAATGCATCCAGTCATGTTTCCAAAACAGGCAAAATTCTACAAAGTCAACTTTARAATGGGCTCAGGAATTATCACCATTGTCAAGTAGTTTTTTTTTCTCTGCTAAATCTGCCTCTACAAATGAAAATAAAAGCTACATCATAAAAAAAACATTTATTTTATAAAGGAGATCCAGAAACATTGCCTCCTTTTTAGGGATTGGGCTCATTTAAAGGGCCAATATTACGTGTTTCTCAGGCATATATTTAAATACATGCCCATAATAAAGTGTATGTGTCACCTTTAGCTGTTATTAAAATGCTGTTTTTATGTTTAAATAGAAAATAAACTTATCTTCTCATCACTTCCTCTTCTAAACGCCTTCAAATTGGCCTCTGTCTCTTTAAGAACCACCTTCCGCTTTTGTCTCACCCATTTCGGTGCGGGGTGTGTGGGGGCTGTCATGATGCAGTTTACTTGGCATCTGTAAATACATTTCCTCAAAGGTATTTTTAATCTGAAAAGAGCTTCACTGAGTGAGAACTAATGTCGAGAGCTCAGCAGACAGTTTAAGTTTCACTTTCACTTTCATCTGAGAGCCTGCAGGAGTCATGGGCGGCGGGGTGTGGGGA